CCCAAACGGCGATACACTGCCGGGATCTCCATTGCAACCAGTTTGCCATTTTCACGACGAGGGGCATTCAAGAAAGCAACCCGGATGTCAGTGGCTGCTATTCTCCAACCCTTGAGAGCCACGGTCCTCACCAACGCCCTCACCTGACATCCGTCAGCACCTCCAGCATAGCAATCCTCGTCGAACCTGGTCTCTGAGTAGTTGCCGCAGCACACAGCCCGAGCTTTTCGGGTGTACACCATCTTTGCTGGGAGCAATTCTATTGTCTTCCCTTCCTTGGCTGCCCTAGCCCTCAAAGCTTCCTTGGTGATCTGCTCCACCGCCTGCTTTGTGGTGACCAACTGCCCGTGCTCTGCTGTGATGGCTGTCACCCAGTTGTCAAAGTCATCCATGACCTCTCGGTTACTGATGGTCTTGGTGACCCGGAACTCCTCTTCCAGCTCCTTGCCATTGAGTGCTTCCTGTTCTTGATGGTTCTGGAGAAGCTGCTCTTCAACCTCTACCTTCCTTACGATGGCTTCCGACAAAGCCCCCATATACCAGCCCTGCTCCAGGTTGGTAATGTCCAAGTGGCCCATCTCCTCCTTGACATACTCCGCCAGGTTGGCCTGCACAAATTGGAGCAATTGGACTTTGGTGAATGGAGTTCTCCCAGGTGCCATTTTCTTAATCGAGGCTGCCAGGCTTGAGCCACCGTCCTGGCTATTAGGCGCCTCCTCCACATCCCCTCCGCCGGTTGGATCCTCCTCCATGGAAACCTCTTCTTTTTCGGCATCCTGGGAGTCCCCTTCACCAGCGCTGGATGAAGTTTTTGATGGAGTTTCGATGGTCCAACTGTCACTGCTCCATTCCGCCTTGAACAACTCAGCATCATTTGGCGCATGGACATCAAACGCGTCACGGTGAGCGCACATCCAATTTTGAACACGGCTGCTGATCTCCCCCTCCATGTGCAACATGGATATGGAAGGAACTGCTGTTTTTTCACGAAGTCGACGCCGGGGAACATTTCCATCCCACAAAGGTCCTCAATCTCCGGCAGATGCACCAAAATGTCACTCGCCTCAGGCTGATCAGGATGTGGAACCACCACGTCATCGGTGTAGAAGTATCGTTTTGTCTCCACGGACTGAACGTAATAGCAGGTAGATGTCAAGGAAGACTGAAGAGCTGGTCCCAAAACGATCACCTCGTCTCGGAGCTCCCTCCAAGGTTCATATCTATCTTGCCAAGACTTCTTCAAGGCAAAGGCGCGGGCCCCAAACTGGAGCAAAGGTCCAACGGGGATGCCAAGACTCCTAAGTTGGCCACGAAGCCTTCTTTCACCGATGTGAATGGCCGCCAACGGCCAACTGTCCAGACCGGTCTCCGTGGTGGCTAGGATGGTCCTGATGTGTTTCTTCACCACCCCCAACTCACTCTCCACCGACCATTGGACTTGTACGAACTACCGGAGGTCAAAGTAGTGACAATCCCCCTGTCCAACGTCCATCGACGAACAGGTGCAGAGATCAGTTCACGAGCTCGATCACAATGGAGCCGGTACAACGGCAATCCAAGACTTCTCAACCGAGCGTAGATGCGAGCCAAGGCAGGCAGGATGTGTTGAACTGATCTGCCAGGGAGAACCTCCACGAACGTGAGGTTGCGGACCGTCACGTCCTGTATCTTTTCCACCTCCTTCTGCCATGCATCAAAGGCAGTTCGTCCCTTGTTCCGGCAGGTAGTCCACTCCAGGATCATCACCACCGGGGTCCGTGGGGGTGTACTCATCATCTGCAGCCAGAAGTGGTGAGTCAATGCACGAAGACTCAACCGATTCCACCAAGGAAGGACCCGAACCGTCCACCGGGAAGGTGTAGACTGCGATCATCATGTAGCGGCAATCGTGACGGCTCTGATCTTGGCCCACCACCATCTTTCCAGAGAGGTCCACACTCAGAGTATAGCTTTCTGGGTGGATAATTCGACGATGAGGCCTGCTCCGAGCAGATGTCCTGACACAATGTTTGCAGTCACGACGAGCTTGTAGTCATTGACACATTGAGGTGGTGGTTTCGCCACCCTTCTAAAGCCACCTGACCAAGGGGTCGCATGGCAACTGCCCGCGATGTCACGGTGAAGATGATCCTGGAGAGCAAGAACCAATGCCCCTTTTAGACTATAGCCCATGATGCCCATGTTTTTGAGTTGTCACACCGCTCCTGCATTGACATTCGGTTTCGATCTTGTTGATCTCCAGCTTCAACTCCGCTGGGAGGCCCTCGAATTCCATCTAAGGCTTGCACATCACAAAGCTTCACCGCCAATGTTGTTGGCTTCCGCTTCACATGGCCCATAGGACCTTGATCAAAGTGGAGCAACTTGATGTCGTACGCATCAGCAAAAGCTTGCCACTCTTGAGTCCGCCAAATCGACATGAAACCTTTCTCTTGTACTTCAGCGACAGGGCGGTAACGAGCTGGATCTTCCGGCTGCTCCACAGCCAGTGCCGTTTGAGGTTCTTGTTCATGACGGACATCCTCGCACAGCATGTACAGAGCCAGCATCCGGAACAGCAAAACACTATCACCAGTGACCAAGGCCTGTTCCGAGGACGACAAAGTCGGCAATCCACAGGGACACTCTTCTGTTCTGAGGATGCCAGGTCCACCGTCTTCTTGATACCGAAGGGCTGACACTGTTCTGCAAGGTGGGCCACCAATGATGGCCTTGATGACTTTTCCGGAAGCTGCAAGCGACAGCAGGTACCGGTAGATGTGGTCGTCATGCAAATCCGCGGAGATCTCCGCTTGCAAGTCGATGCAAAGCATCTCAACACTGCCTTGCTGGATGGCCTTCTCCCAATACTTGGAGTCCGGGCCAGAAAACAAATGGAGCACGATCTGTTTGGCACGCTCCAGTCTGCGGCGCTTCCGCCTGTTCCAAGGGAGACGACTGCCATCCACACTTTGCAAATCATCAAGCTCCGGAATGATCCTCATCAGGACGTCATCCGGCAGAGCCTTGAACAAAGTTTTCAACTTGTATGTCATAGCCATCTCCGTGGACTGTTGAATGGACTGAATCATCTCCACAGATGGATCCAGTAGCATAGACTTCAGGATCTGGGCCTTTCGAAGAAGCCGGATCTGTTGCTTCTCCAACCTGTCGATCATCGCCTGGCCCACTTCACAAGGAACCATAGGACAACCGTGGTGCACTACCACTGGAAGATCACCTCCATCTTCATCAGACAAGGTGCATCGAGCATTCTTCCACTCAAACTTGTACCCCAACTCCGCAATGCCGCCAAGTGGGATGATCCAAGATTGACCCCATTCATCATCACATGGAGCCGACAATAGCACCTTTGAGGCTTGCTTAAGGCGAAGCTTGTCCGTGATGCCGTCCGCCAGGGTCACCTGCGTGGGCTGAGCTTCCTGCCACTCCTGTTGGTCACGAGCTGGCCTGAGAGCGCGCGTGGCACCCGAATCCAACAAAACCATGCCCTTCACTTCGTGATCCAGTTGACTGAGTTGGATGGCTTTCAGCTGAGGTGCCCATTTCAGCAACTTGGTCGCCTCTTGCAGCAATGACTCGCTGTGTTCCTTGGCCACTCTCAACCCCCACCTCCATCTCCTGAAGCTTCACCGGCCCTGAAGACGAAGATGTACCACCACCTGATGGCTTGGTGTTCTTGTGAGGAGCCACCGGAGCATTCACAGCATTTGAACCCGGAGCCTTTCCTCCCCCTGAACCCGAACCGGGTTCACCAGGTGACTTGGGGCCAGACTTCCCCTGAGACTTCAGCTTGCACTCTGTCTTGCGATGGTCTTTTCCACCACAAATCCAGCACCAAGCAGCTTTGTCCTCCACTCCTTCCCAGCTGTGCGACCATTTGCAAGCCTTGCCGGCTTTACACCCAGCTTCTGACCTGAAGTATCTGCAGGGCGTAGAGGCCATTGAACCATCCTTGCCTTTGTCCCCAGTCTGCATGCCCCGGGATGGCATTGACTTTGTTGGAGCCTCCATCTGCTTCACCTTGATTGTGGAGGGAACAGACGTTGGAGTAGTGCTCATCAATGACAGAGTCTCCACTTCCGCCAGCAAACATTGACTAAACCGCCAAATGCCCGAGTGGAGAGGTTGCTGATCGATCCCCAGCTGGAGTCGACTTTGTGCCAATCTGAACGAGGCCTGGGCGTCCATCGAGGCAATTTGAGCCACAGCCGGCTCCAATGCCTTCAACAGCAGCGTGCCGTCAGGTAAAATGGCACCAATCTCCTGAGCCCGAGAAAAATGCCTTCGCCATAACCTCAAAGCAGCTGCCAACTCAGTGACCCCTGTGGCTTTGTCCATGGTGGTCAGCTTGGAAAGGAGTATTGCTTTCTCTCCGGATCCTCCAGGTTGGTACCGAACCAACAACCTGAACAACAGTGCCGTCGAGGTGAGCTCACGTGCTGTGATCAAGGCTTGCTGTTGATCTGCTGGAATGGCCCGCAAGAGCAAATGCACACCCCGCTGTTCCGTCCTCTGATAGCGGCCATCAAGCAACTCATCCGGCAACCGCGGTGAGATCTGAACCCGCTCCAGTGGCGACGATGTTTTCCAGCGTTCATAGTAGCACTGAGCTTCACGTGTAGTGAGGTTCCACCACCTGGCGCTGACTGCCGAAATGTCCCTCAACACGGGACCACATACGGCCAACCAATCTCCTAGCTCCAAAGGTGAAGCGTCCGCGGAGAGCTCTGCTAATTCCGCTTTGCTGTTTCCAGAACCTTCATTCCAGGGTAAAGGCATAGTGGGCGGTTGACCACCCTCATCTCGCCAGCAACCATTCCGGTTGTAGTCGGGTACAGCCCCGCTAGAACCCACGAAATCACTTGCAGGTTCAAACACTCTGTACGTGGTTGAAGGATGACATACACCGTCAGGATTAGGGGGACATACTTTATCACGTTCATGATCACCCGGAGCACGCATGCTAACACCAGCATAGTCCCCACGATGACCATGGTCTACACCATGACCACCATTGCCAAACAGCTCTTGGAGGTCATGTCCCCGTAGGCCTCCAGTGCCCAAATCCTGTGGAGGTGGTGGATGGGCATCCTGAGAACATGCAGCCACGCGTCCAGGACCCTGCGAAGCTTCCTGCATCCGCTCCATGGAGATTCTCAGTGGCATCCACCTCCTTTTCAAGCCGAGTTGCGCGATCATCTCGAGGCGCGAACCCATTCTCCTGCGGCTCGAAAGCCTTCCCTTCTCGCACGCCAAGTGGCAACCAGTGTTGATCGCCTCGTCGACGGCGAAGTTCATCCAAAATCTCATACCCCTGAAGCAAACTAATTTCAGCCGAGTTGCCTGAGGTAGGAGGTCCAAAAGGTGGCAACGGCACTTCCGGCAGTTGAGGTGGTTGCCCATCAGGAACTTGAGTGCCGTTGGGCGTATAGCGAACCGCTGACCGCTCCGAAAGCACCCTTCTGGTTGTAGGACTTCTCCCCCGTGGCGTATGAGGACCATCAACTCGGTTCTTCGACGAGGGCCGTTTGTCATCAGCTGAAACCCCTCCAGCCAAACTCCCACGACGATGGTGCCGAAGGTGCCGACGACGAAGTCCCACCCGCCAGCTTCTTTTTCATTTCCTCCAGCTCCAGGCGCAGATGATCATTCTGCTCCCTGAGGAAAGTGACCATTTCCGCTTCCAAAGCTCGCTGCAAGTTCCCTTCCGACTCATGACCCCGCCTAGGCTTGGCTTGGACATGTTCAGGGGGCATAGGACCCATAGACTTGCACGGACCAGGAACAGGCTCATCAGCCATGTCCCCTGACGACATCCTGCCCTTCGATCTCTTTCCAGCGCCGTGCCCACCTCTTAGTCTGGTGGCTGGAGTGGCATAAACCCGCCCTCCAGTCGATAAGCCTCGACCCTTCCCTGTGCCACCCGTGAGCCCGCCTTCCTCGAGGTCGCCATCATCATGTGGCACCGGGAGATCTTCGGGTCTATGGTGTTGCAACCAAACCTCCTGTTGGACCCTTTCAGACCAGAAAGGATTGACCGGAGGGAGTGATCTGGCTCGATCCATGGCGCAGCTAAGAGCCGCTAGTTTGGGCTCATAACCCTTGACAAAAGGAATCCCCTCGCTCCTTTTTCACTCGAGAAACAAATGCCTGTGGTATGACATGGGTCATGGTGTTCTCACCACTCTCAACAGAATAGGAATGCAATTACCGACGTTCCCACCAACATTGGAATTCAAGGAGCTGACGACAAAAATGCTGAGGCTGAAACTGTTTGGGGTCTATGCTTGCATGATCAACAAAAAGAAGTCGAAACATTCAATGACACGACTCATTGGGGATGTGAAGGATCCGCGACAAACACCACTGGAAAGGATTCAAGGGAAGTTCCACACGTTTCCTTGCAGGTGCATCATTTGCTCCAGTAACGTCTCCGAGCGCGATTTGCTTCATTTGCTGCAAAGATGCTCAGTGATGGCTAAGACCGTCTCAGTGAATCCCATCTGGTCCAACAAGGTCCGGAACTTCTCAATGGGCACCGTCAAGGGCATTGAGCTGTTCTGACCTTGGCCCTGATCCTTAGATGCGACGAGCCTGAGAAACGGACGCTCTTTCGGACGAAACCATGTTGCCCCCTACCCAAGAAGATCATCTTCCATGACAGGAGCTATGTGAAAATGGAGGCGGCAGCCGCAGCTCGGCACACATGTTTATATATGCTGCGCTGAAATGTATTGAATGTGTCTCTACAGTGTACCTGATGCCCTCAAGGATTCCTGAACCAAGTCCGACCAACCAGGGATCGTAGTAGTGGAAGCTGAAGAAGTCCAACGGGGCTCCAACACCTGGGCTCCATCCATCGAAGGAGTTGAGTTCCATGCATCGAAGGTGGACAGACTCCGAAGCAACTGGTCATACCAGTAGAAACTCCGATTGCAAAGAATGTCGGATCGAATCCCCGCCGTGCAAAAAAAGGCAGAGATGTCATCTGCCAATGCTAGTGGATGCTGGTGGGATGCAGTCGACTTTCTCATGGAGGCATGCTGCCTCGTCTCTCTTACCTTTCTTGTCCAAGTGCCCAGACTCTGAACGCTTGTCACACTAAATGAAGCAACATGAAGCAGCGATGCCTTCCGGGACCATCACTCTCAACATGGATGACCTCCGTTTCTCCAAAAATATCAAGGTCCTTTTCAAGGACCTTCGAGGTCCAGGTTTCCGTCTGCCGAAGTACCGAGCAAATCTCATGTTCATGTGGGGCGTGACTCGATGTGACTCGTTCAAACAGTTTTGCCAGAACCTTAAACGACGCCTAAGACTCTGAAACACATTACAGTACTGTCTTGAGCCTTGAGTCAGAAGAACAGGTACAACGTCGCTTGTTCGGACGGCCCATAACATCCCATAATCCCAATTAGGACCTGTGCTTGAGCTGATGAACCCCATGAATTTGAAGGGATGCGTGAGAGTTGAGGTAGCCTGAAGTCTGCAACTGATGTCCACAATACATTCGTGCTGAACAAGGATTTTTCTCCAGCGTGCTATTGGCAGCCAGGCTTGGAAAAGAGTCTAGATTTGCAAGATTGGTAGTATTTACTCTGAGCTTTCTTGTGTCTTCTCATCATGCTTTGGCAACTGTGGAATACCAAACGCCGATAAAAGCTAGTGATTGTTCAGTAGTCCACAATGAAGATTGCAAACCTCCTGCACTGACAGTAGGCCTGACTGATCTTTCTGCATAAAGTCTTTTTGTCTCGTGCCTCTGGTCTGGGTCGGTGAACGTGTCAGTTCACCCTCAGCAGCTGGTCCAGCTGCCTTCTGGAAATGGGCATGTCCGAAACGATTGGAAACAAAACACCGGAGAAACACATGAGAAACACAGCCGCTCAACTTATTAGACTTCTGGGCCAGCATAGCCCAACAAATTCCAAGTCAATGAATCTTCCTGAATGCTCTCTTATAGATGTTCATCAACTCTCGTCCAATTCAAGCGAACATCATGACGTCCCTTCGGGGCCCTCGCCGCCCCTTCCCAGAAGGTGCATCCAAGCGACGTTTGATTTCGTTTAGAAAGCCCACCACCCATTTCTTCGCGATGCCTTCGAACACCTGAACGAGACACGAGTCTTGACTGCTCAACATCCGAGACACGAATGCCGTCGGACAAGCCTGGATGAGACACGTGCGAGATGGTGCATGGGTGCCCAAATCTTGCCAGATGCACACAAATTAAGCATTCGAAGAATATGCAAAGAAGCAAATCACAGAACAAACTATATATATAATATATATATATATATGAGAACCTCTAAAGCCATCTGGCAATCAGAAGAAAGCTTGCACATCTCCTGTTCTGTCAACCGCTACTATGCAATCTTGCATCTATAACATGCTTAGAAACATATCCAAACGCGCTCGTCAGAGTGCAGGTGTAGAAACGGACTGTGTTCGTGCACAGCCGCTCATCCCGACAACGCCTGGCAAGGCCAAAAGGATGAACTGGTTCCAGTCGCAGGGCCTCCCACGCGGACCTTCTGGGTCTTGGGGTTCTCCTTGCGGACGCAAAAGCGACGCGCGGAGCTGAGGAGCTAGTTGGGTCAACCGTTGGTCCATCCTCAAGAGACGAATCCAATGCGTCCCACTTCAAAACCCACTCCAAAAGCCCTGAGGGTCTCATAAAAGCTTACACTTGCTACTCGTGTCTCAACAGCAAGCAGCCGTGTCAGACTTGTGCTCTCACTCTCTCTCTCTCTCTCAGCACTGTCACTCTTATACCGCCCTACGCGTGACTGCCTTCAACGCCTTGGCACTGTTGGCATAGAAGGCCCAGGCAGCCTCGAGCAGCGCACCCCACGGGGCAGTGGGAGGCACCAAACAAGAAACTCTGGGTTTGGGTTATTTGGATGATGATGATCATGATGATGATGATGATGAACTTGTCCTCCAGAAGTTAGTCATTTCACCTTCATTTCACTTTTTTGGTGTTCCAAACCAGATTGATGGTCTGCAAAACTGGCTGGCCAACCTGTGGTCTTCGGGTCGCATGTATGTGTCACCTTAAGGTGCCTTGCTCGAACGGCGGAGGCTCAAACAGGCTGAAACGACGTTCCAGCACCAAGCCTTGTTACGAAGCAACCAAGTCCCAACAAAGACGTCTGGCGACCAAGACCAAAACAAGAGATTGAGTGTTGCAGGGAGTTAAGTTAACTTGACATGTTGGCATGTTCCGTCGCGGGAAAACAAACGAAGGCATGATGGGAAAGATCTTTCCCTGCAATGTCGTGAGGCTGGGTAAAGTACTGCAGAACAAGTTAACAGAAAGTGTTGTCGTTGAGATTTGTTGAGCGTTTGCGCAGGAGCAAGAAACATGTTTCTCTTGATTCTACTTACTGCATCTCACTGCAGGCATAGGCATAAAGCATCATAAAGCATCATAAAACGTGTTTGTTCTGGGAGAGGCGTTGCCCATGTGCTCATGTTGTTGTCTGATTCTTCGCCTCAATCGAGCGGCCCGGTCAGTTGCAAACAGTTCGATGTCTGTGTATACAAAAGTTTCCTAGAGCCTGTTGGTTGACAATGACAATGGTTGAACCATACCAGCGCATCTCCAGTTCCGCGAAGCGTTCAAATTTCAGGAACTAGCGATGGTTTTGCTCGGGCACAAGATTCCCCCAGGTAGACAAGTTTGTTCACCATCAGGCTTTCATTAGGATACCTGATACCGCAATTCTAGATTCTAGACCCCCTAAGGAGTGTCTAGAGGTCAAGGGGTGTGCCACCCAAACCTGGAGCCCTGATACAAAATACAGAATTCAAAAACTTGTACAGGATTCTTGGATTCCCTGGTGGTTTGTTCAACCGCAACCGGCCAAAGCCACTGAATCCGGCAGCCCCACCTCCGGAGTGCCGTCCCAATAGCGGGAGCTCCACTGGTAGGGCTTCGCGAAGCAGTAATCGGCATAAATCTGATCGGTCACCTCCTGGCAGCGACGTCCGGGGGTTCGGCGCAGCGGGTGGCGACCCGCCGAAGGAACGTTCGGAACACCCCGCGCAGTCGCAACCCCGCGGGGGTTCCGTGGTGTTCCGGTGTTCGGCCTGTCAGGCAGTTTTCGGCCTTGTCTCAAACGGTTCTCTTCGGTCGCTGGGAAATTGAGTCCGGCGAAAGGGATCTGTCCACCTTGAAGCCTAGCTGCAAAGCTCCTGAGTTCCTGGGTCTCCCAGCTGCAGGGACCTTCGCAAAGGTGCGTCAGTTAAAACATGGTGAAACATGGTGAAACACATTGAAGGATGTTGAAACCATTCAGCCACTGGGCTGCGTTTCTTAGAGCAAGCAAATCTGGCCCATGGCAGTGATTCCTTCCCACAACGAAGACGCGATCCCTTGCTCACCTGATCGCACAAGGAGGAGCCCGGAATGAAAACGCTGCTGGGGAAGCAGGTCATCATCTGCCACTCGTTCATGAGCTCCACGCCATTGAAGCCTTTGAAGGTGCCTTTGTCCTTAGAAGTCAAGAGCATTCAAGGGCTATGGCCGCATTGCCGCAATTCACGAGGAACCGCCTTGTGGTGGTTGGGGAACTCCTTTTTTAGTCCCGGCCTGAGTTTCTTCAAGCCTTGTCACAAGCTCAACAGAAAAATAACATATGAGAGTCATCTCAAAGATGTTCATCTATGGAAGGGATTCTGATGGATGCTACCACTATATGAATCCAACATTTGTAGGGACAAATTGCACCGGATGGGTTTGGAAAGGTGCAACCTAACAAAACGAAGAAAGAAACACGAAACACAAACCAATCAGCATACCATGTGGGCGCAGGTATCGGAAGGCAAGAGTCTGATTTCGCCTGGTGCATCTGGCCGGGACCGATCGCAGCCGATTGGAGACTGAACAAGGAATCCGGTTTTACCACCGGATGGACCTGGTTCCAGGCACATGGTACAACCACAACCGATCAATCCGCACAAGACAGCTGTTTCAACGTGCTAGTTCAGTTTTCTTTCTGAGGTTTGCGGCTTCTAAACAATCTCTGAACCGTTTGGTCCCCGAAGTATTCGCATATCGCGACAAGAATCCAATGCACCCTGGCCAGGACGACCGGGCACGGGGAATTTGTTGAAGTCATTGTAACGCTCCACAATCTTCATGACCAGCTGAGGGCCAACCTGGTTGATCACCTGGATAGATGAATGTCTCACAAGCAAGAACTAGTTACCTCCTGTGACATGCGTATTGAGTTGGCAAACGCACAGCGCATGGAACATGTTGGTGTACCTTTGCTCAACAAAGGTCAAAAAGTGTCCATACTGTCATTGGTTTGCCTGATATGTGTCCTTTTGGCTAGCATGCGTTGTTGGCAAAAAAGGCAGCAACCTGTGAGCTAAAACTTGAGACGGATGGACCAGGATTGAGCACCACATGTTTCATTGTTGTTGCGTATAAGGTTAAAACCAGAGGTGAAATTCCTAACAAAAAAGCAAACTGCAAGATCATATACAATCATAATACATGAAATATTCATTGCGAAACTTGGCTGTGTCTTGCGCATACATTCTTCAATATAAACTTGTATTGGCCGGCATGTTACTTCGCCTGACTTGAACTATCGAACACCAAAGTCCGATGTCCAGCGCTTCGAACGTGTTCGTTCACCCATCGAACGGTTTCGGGGTGGGGGCGCCGGCAGGAATTGAGGCCACCGAATCGAGGACTTGTCGATTGGACTGGAGGGATATCCTGTGAAGTGGTGTTTTGGCCGCCTTTGGCCATGGTTAGTTAATGGGCCGCGATTCTTCCAGGCCTCACTTCTGTTCCTCTGATGGTGTTTTACCCCTTCTGGCCGGTTGACTCAGGGTCGTAGGGGCAATGGTGAAGTGGTCATCCTCGGTAGCGAGCTCGACAGGAAGGCCAAGAAGAAAGGAGAAACATCGAACTCCTGGAGATAGGAGGAATCTGTTCACACTCCTGTTCACTTCTGATGTTTCTCCTTCCGTGCTTGGAGGGAACCATCACCGGACCCCTCCTACTCTGCACCAAGCTGCGCCAGAGACGCTGGGCCAGGGGGCGCAGTTGTCATAGTTCACCGGAGGGATCCTCGTGTGGCCGGAGGGATCGCCCCCGTTTGGGGTCACGGACACGTGGACACACTGCACCGGTGGTCCTGAGGACGGTCTTTCCGAGGTGCAACGACACAAGGCCAAGAGCGATAGATATGAAACGAAGTGTGAAAGGAAATTAGATCTAATTATAGAACAACATAGAATATAGTTGCAAGTTCGACAATAGTTGCACCGTGCTTTTTAGTGGAGGCAAACATGTCAGCCATGTGCATATTGTTGAAACCCATCAGCCAAGGGTTGCTATAAAGTATAAGCTTCCCTGACCTGCAGCCCTCGGGTTGTTGATAGAGGAGAATAGAGGATAGGAAAAGTTTGCCAAACACAATGCTGATTATATATGATTATGAATTGATCATAACCAGGATAACGATAATGGGTGCTCTTGATACGCTTGTTGCCACCATGCCAAGTTCAGAAGGCTGCTTCATTGTCCAATCAACAATCAAAAAGCCATGTTGGTATTTAAAAAAGTGGGCAGGTTGCTGATGGGGAGCACAAATGCAAGAAGAAAGCCGACGCCTGTTGTGCTATACCGGACTCCCACTTTGCCAGGGATCTTCTGCACTGTCTCTTGCAAAGTCTCGTCCTTGGATGCTAGGAGACCCGCATCCGGATACCCGAACGGACCGTATGAACCTGGAAGACCAGGTTTCCTACGTGACGTAGAAGCAATGCTCGATGTTGTATCTTGCTAAAGGCCAGGGGCCCAGGGGGTGGAAAAGGCTAGAACATAGAGGGGCTCAGGCAAACCGTGCCCGTCTAGCTTTGGCGTCAGGCTGGGGGCCACGATCGGTGAAGTCGAATCGAGAATCGAGTCGAACCATCGATCACTTCGGTCTGCGAAATCAGCAGAAAAGAGGTTTTGAGGCTTCCACAACGCATCGTACCCAAGCGATGTGGAAGACTTATATCTCAGGGCAGCTGCATCGATATGGCGATTGTGAAGATCAAGTTCCCCTTGGGTCTTGATTTGACATTCTGTGTGGATTCTTATGATATTGCTGGCAAATTCTTAGTGTTCACGTCATTTCAGTTTGCCAGTCTAAAACCATATACAGTCTGGCCACCACTCATCCACTTGCATGTGCTCTTGCCCTTCATCCATATGGCCATCTACACTCACATGCATCCATGGTCTATGGCCTCTAGATGTCCCTGGTGATCTGATTGGGCGTAAAACTATTTATAGGTCCACTTACCATAAATGTTCAATGATGTCAACCATTCCCAGCAAAAGCTGATGATGATGATGATGATGATGATGATGATGATGATGATGATGATGCTGCTTAGGTTAATCATGCAAGGCCTTTCCACAAAAACAATAGCGATAATCTTGCAAACTCCGGAAATGGGACACACCTTAAGATCTGAATGTTTGACTGGAGTTTGGATCGGGTCAACTCGCAGCACCCACACGGTCAACCGGATTGGACGTTCGCGTTCAGCGTTCAACGGCATTCGTTCGCAACACACTTACGCGGTGAAACAAAAAAATACGAATTGAACATGGCAATACATGGCATGATACAAGATGTAACTAGAGCAACATAGTGAGCAACATGTATTGTAAAGGAAATTGAGCTTATCATAAACTGAACACAAGATATTTGCACCCAGCCTGAGAAACACTCATGGAAGGGCTGAATGAGACGACCCGCGGAAGTCGATGGTAATTTCTATATACATGTTTCTTCACTTTGTTTGTTGATTCGGTTGATTTCTCTGAAAAAAAGGCATGCATCCCCTTTGACTGCTCGTCAATGACTCGTCAACTTTGAGCAATGTTCACACCACGAAGCGCACGAGAACCCCTCACTAATCAGATCTTCGCCAAGGCTCCCAGTAGGCAAGCCCTGTGAGACGCGTGGACTGCCAAGACAACACTGGGATCTTCAGGAACGACGCCAGACCGGCGCGCAGGATGGCGTTGATGTATTTGTCGGACTCCTGGCATGGGAGTTGTTTGAGTTTGAGAGGGAGTTGTTTGAGTTTGAGAGCGCTTGGGGCGAACTAGGTTAACTTTCAGACCTTGAAGTGAACATCTTGAGGCCGTGGAGGGACTTGAAGCACTTTCTGGGGGTCTAGAAAATGCAAAACAAAATAAACACATCGCTGTAAATGCATGCCTGGCCAGTTTAGAGGATGTCGCTGTTGTTCAATGCAACATATAGACATATAGATCTGCACGGAACCAAGAGCCTGCTTTAGTTGGTGTGATGTCAATGTTTATGTCATGTTGATCATGTCACCTTTCAGGAACCAAAATCACATGACATCAACACCAACACCGTGGTGCACCATCACTTATCCTTATCCTGGCTCCTTATCCTTTTTACGAAAGGGCCACATGTTCCAATCAAAGCACCGCTGTCCGTTCTGGGCCGCCCGGACGTGCCAGTTCCAATTTCGATCATCCAGTGGGTCGGGGATCTGAGCCAAGTCGCCTCGAGGTGACGGCCCTTTCGCCGGATGGGATGGAGAGGTGAAGAGTCCGGAGTCGAAAGGGTCGAGCTTTATGTCTAAGTCTGCAGCTGTCGAACTATGGATCTATCCATCGATCCATCTACCCATCGATCTATTAAGCTATCCATCGATCCATCTACCCATCGATCTATTAATATCCTTCGATCTATTCATCCATTCATCCATCCATCCATCCATCCATCTGCTGTATCTATCTCTGTCTATCCATTGTTCTGTATCTTGTTTTTCTAACTGGGCAACTGTCATCACATAATATATTATATATATAGATATATATATATAGAGAGAGAGAAGCAAGTTCATTTGCACCTGTAAAAAACTGTTGCTGTGGTTGACTGTTACACCACAAATTGTCCATTAGGTGCGACAGATTGCAAACAACAAATGAGTTGGGACAGCTCAGGCAGTTGAAGGAAGAACTGCAGTGCCAGCAGTTTCTTCTGGAGAAATGTCTCTCTACCAATCCTAGAATTTCTGGAATGTCTACTGGATTGCCCCATTTCTTGCCTCAATCATGTGGCCCCTCTCTGTACACATTGAAGTGTCCAAAATGTCCAACGGACCATCTGCTCCGGAAGGATCGAAACTAACATCAACTTGATCAAACTTCCATGTCGTGGACGTGCCAGTCCCTTTCGAGGAGAGCACAAACTTCCCCCTGAGTCCTCCAAACTATGATCTGCTGTCCTGGAGGGATGCCACACTGTTACCATTGATTGATTTTAGTCGCCTTTGACAATATCGTTAACATCCTGACACTTGCAAAGTGTTATCCTATAGGTTCCTCCATGTGCATGCTATATACAGTGCAAGGTGGCAGCTCGTATACTGCCTGGTTCATCCCCGTTTGCCAGTCCAGCCACTCTCCGCCGAGCCACTCACTGGGAACATGCAGCTGATGTGGAAGGCTTTGCCCGCCTCATCAGGGCGCACCCCTTGGAAGCCCATCTTGGCATAGAATTCACCCATCTCTTCACTCGGAATGGTCACATCCTCCGGGTACATGGTGTACCTCAGAGAGTAGTACGTGTGAGAGAGAGAGAGGGGGAGCCACAGGAACACATGGTCAGAGTGGAAAAGCCAAAGGGAGGATCCCCGGGAAAAAGGTGGGACTTCCTTTCGGTGGCCTTCTTGGCTGCTTCATGAATGCTTAATGACGCTCCATGGTGTGCAAAGGACCGTCTCAACATGCCATCAGACTGTTAAGACCGAGTTCACTCCCCACACACCTCCAAAATCCCCGCCTCTCTCGGCGTGGCCCCTCTCAAACCCCTCTTGACGTGCCCCTAGAGCGCCGCCCAGCTGCGGCGCGGGTCCATCGTTCGCCCCGAAGATGCCATAGGGCACCCGCTTCGCGCAACGGCGGAAGGTCTCGGTCTCGACAGAGCGGTCGAACCGGTGTTTTTTCCGGTGCAGCTGGACAAAGCCTGTGTCTTCCCAAGAAGACGAGGATTCAGCGTTTGCCAAGAAGACGAGATGAAGGATCCTTGGAACAAGTTGTGGCCAATGCAGGTTGAACAGGTGTTTCAAACGCAAATGATTCAGCATTCTCTTCAGACAAACTGACAAAATGTCCCTGCTATTACAATGAAACATGGAAGACAAAGCCACTCCGGCGTATTTGTTTGACATGCATCCTGATGCAAACATTTGGAAACAAGGAAACTGTGAAGCCCCAATCCAAATCAAACAGAAACTATTCTTCAAGCATGAGCCCCCAGCATTCAGAAATATGTTCTGTTAGTAGGATCTTATGCAATTTATTATCTTCAGGGTTTGGGATGGCTGAATTTCATCTGTCAAACACCCACGGGCATGTCTCATGTCTAGAACACCAACCCACAAGTTCTGTGTGATGCTGCAACAATTGGTGTCCATAAGGCTGCCTTTGAGTAGTCTCAATCTCCAAAATGGATCGAAGTGGTGTTATTCCCTCCCATGGACATGAAGGAAAAGCACACACCAAAACATGCTGCTTCGAGGGATAAATGCGGTTTTCTCGAGGGGTATCATTGAGTCTTTTTCTATTCAAATGAAACAAGTAGCGACATACTTCAAGTTCGTACGCTGGCATGCTTCAAGTTGCTTCACACTTCCCCATGTCAAACTTGCTCAAACCTGATGCAGAATGCGACACCTCACAACTTTGCCTCTGGATGGCTATCTGAAAAAAATAAAACAAACAACTGGATGATCCCCCACACCTTGTTGATTATAAGAACACTATAGAACACTATGAATTATATTGTTATTGCAGGTAGCAACCACAAAAGCAGGCGGT